TGTGAAAGAATACCCAGATGCCTTTCTCCACCTACATAATTTCTTCTCCTACCCCTTCATTTTCTTACATATCAAATATTGATCTCTCCTTCACTTCCTCTCTAGTACTTACACAATTAGTTTCTATTATAAATGAAATTCAGAGTCTCAGATCTTCCTTTGTTATAATGTGTGATGATTCTAATAAGTGAGAGCATAAGAGGCAAAAATATTTACTGAACAAAATATCTACACTAATAAAAGAGAAACATGGTAATTGGCGTACGACCGCTACCCTTCCCATTGGCTAATCAGCGTATCCTTATGCAAATTAACTGCCAGCCAAGATGGCGGCTGGAAGCCATGCACTGAAGCGAGCAGGGAGGCTTGCTTCCTCCAGGGACTGCAGACTCCAACGTTCCCCGCCTCACTTGCCGGACTCTCAACTGCAACTCTAAGCAACTATTACTATGTTGCAAATAAGAAGCTAAACAAAACCAGCTTTCAGTCAGCCCCGGACCGCAACATTGTATCCATGTTTTCAGCAGCGAGGCCTCAGAGCTAAAGCTGGCCCAGAATAAAAAAAAAAAAAAAAGAAAACAAGGAGCGGTTTGGAGCTTTTAGTCAACTGCCAGCGGGAAAACAGCCCTCAGCCCCTCAGCCAGACTGGCCAGGCACCCCAGTGGGGACCCCCACCCTGATCCAGGACACCCTTCAGGGCAAACCAGCCAGCCCCCATCCGTGCACCAGGCCTCTATTCTATATAGTAAAAGGGTAATATGCCTCCCAGCACCGGGATCAGCGGAGCAGCGAGGCTCCCGGCACCGGGATCAGCGTGACAGGGGGCAGCGCCCAAACCCCCTGATCAGCCCTGCTCTGTGCCTGATAGGGGGGAGCTCCCCAATCCCCCGATTGCCCTGCGGCTCTGTGTGTGACAGGGTGCAGCACACCAACCCCCTGATCGGCCCTGCTCTGTGTGTGACAGGGTGCGGTGCCCCAACCCCCCGCCCCCACGGCTCCTGCTCTGTGTGTGACAGGGTAGCAACCATAACCCTCTCCATCGGCCCCTGCTCTGTGGGTGATAGAGGGTGGGCGCACCACCCCCCCTCCACGGTCCTTGCTCTGTGTGTGAGAGGGTA